AGAGAGAGAGAGAGAGAGAGAGAGAGAGAGAGAGAGAGAGAGAGAGAGAGAGAGAGAGAGAGAGAGAGTGCGTCAACAACAATGCACAGGTGAGCCTATGAAAAAAAAGCACGCTGACTGTGTCAACAACAATGCACACGAGAGCCTAAAAACCACCCCGACCAAGCCCAAACCCACTCCCCAACCAACAAATCGCCACCCATCCTCGTTTTAACACTAGTTCCTTCATTTTATTGCGGGCGGAGCCGCAACAGGTAACCTTGTTTGGATGTTGAAAAGGTTAATTGGTAATAATTTGAAAGTATGAAAATGGAAATGGGAAATACTCCTCTGTGGGTTCAGGCCAAGGAGAGCAGAAATTTTGCCATGAAGTCAAGTAACTGCCGTTTTGCTTATGACATTGCTCTGGCTCTGTTTCCTGCTCCTTTCTGGTTGTGGTAATGAATTTGGTCTGGAATGTTCCTTCTTGTTTTCGCCGTGTGGTTACAGATTGGCTTGCTGTATATTGGTTTGATTGCGAGCATTGTCGGGAGGTTCCCTCTGAAATTTCCGCAGGTGAGGAGTATAGTTAGGTCCAGACCAATCATTATGAATAAATGTCTGAGAGAAAGACCTGTCAGTCATGTGCATGAACTATAATGACATGCTGTATGCTTGTACATATGATGTGTGTGTTTTATCGAATGTAAGAAGACACAAGGAACATGACACATCACATAAAATTGTGCATGAATAGCTTGGGAAGCTGGATGCCTCGGTGCAATGTGGATAGGATATTCTATGGTGCAATGAACCAGCTCAAATTCTACTCCAGATGCAGCCATGCATCACACCGAATTCCACACAGATCATTCAAACATGGCAGCGAGATTGTTAATAGCTGGAAATTATTCCCAAAACAACAATATTATCCAAGGTCAAAGTTCATAGTACATGTGATTATGGCCGCCAGCTCATCAAACTCCCTCTGGTAAGTCCACTCTCTCTCTCTCTCTCTCTCTCTCTCCTCCCTTGGATCCCTCACTCCCACTCTCTTAATGCACGGGCTTCACTCTCTCTTTCTACCCTATGGGCTATGGTGGTCATCTCCCTCCTAGCTTACCCTAGTTATGGCTTTTTCGGTTCATCTCCCTGACCAGTCCACAAGTACGTCCCCCATATGGTGCGCAAGTACTGAGGATCAACACAAAACCGCCGTCCTGACCAGGTACGGTCTGTACGAGTGTGTGGTGATGCCATTTGGACTCCTGGAACATTCCAGCACGCAATGAACATGATTTTTCACGAGTACTTAGATAAGTTCATCGTCGTGTACGTCAATAATATACTTATCTTTAGTAGGACTGTAGAGGAGGATGCTAATCATGTAGGAATCATCCTGGGGATCGTAAGACAGCACCAATACAAGTGTAACTTGGAAAAATGCAAATTCTGTCGCACGAAGATCTTGTACCTGGGTCAAGAAATTTCAGCGGAAGGACTGAGGCTGGATGATGTCAAGGTGGCTATCTTTCGAACGGCCTAGACCTAAGTCCGTGACTGAGGTCAGGTCTTTCTGGGGATGATGGGCTACTACAGCTCGTTTGTAAAGGACTATAGTACTGTAGATTCCCCACTGATGGACCTCACATGCCTTGACACTCGTGGGAGTGGAAAGATGAGTGCGAGGCAGCCTTCAAGAGACTGAAGTATGCCCTCATGCACCATGAAGTCTTGAAGGTTCCCAATCCTGAGAAGCCTTTTGTTGTGACCACGGATGCCGGTCAATCTGGCATTGGCGCGGTCCTTGCGCAGCAGGAAAAAGTTGAGGCCAACCAAGTACATAAGTTAGAAGATGCGGTCTCAAAAGCTAGCTAAGTCCACCTATGAGCGTGTGCTTTACGCCCTATACAAGGCGTTGATTCATTGGAGGCTCTACCTCCTTGGCAGATTTTTCTACGTGAGATCTGACCATGAGACTCGCCGCTGGATTAAGACACAACCTTCTCTCTTCGACGATTTAAAACCTGCCTGTCGCTTGCATTTTCGAAACCCACCAGACTTTCCTAGGATGCTGCTGCCAAACTTAGATCAAGACTTGGATTTTTCTTGTCGGGTTTCGGGCCTACCGCACTTCCAACGACCCTAACCTTTCTGTTGACCCACTGGACTTCTTTGACCTACGAGACGAAAGAACGGCACTTTGTCCATTGGGCCTGCTGAAGCAGTGGGACTGGGGCCATTGGGGCTTTGGAACCATTGGGATTTTGGGACCAGGAGACGGGACACTGACTGTGGCTTGAAATCCTTTCACTCTCGCTGGCCTAATTTCAAGATCTCTGAGAAAAATGTTGTATGATACGATGTTTGGGGCTGTCCTACGCAGTTCATTCTTTGTGTACTGTAGGTCATCATCTTGTTCCCGGTACTGGAACTGGACCTTGTACTCTTGCTGTGGCCTTCCTCTCCTACCTTATCTCATCTATAATGCGATCAATGCCATATCGGCCATTCATATAATGGCGGAATTATTGATCTGCGTGAAGGAAACATATCACTGGTGACATTAGGCGGCACCTCGGTAGTGTGAAAGACGGTAAGTATGCAGATGTGGTGGTATGTCCATAACATAGGACGAACCATCTAGATAAGCGGGTTGCAATTTCTGAGAAGTACCTTCCTCTAGCAGAAGCTCTTTCAACTTGACGTAGACAAGATCTCCAAGAGCGGCTTTGGAGCGTCTGCGATGTTGTTGTCCTGTTCTACCGTCTGATGCTATGCCTCTCTGATGTTTTCTGCGACCTTTCGCAGGTCTTTCTCATATGGCAGTGATAATTTCCTAGTTCCAGGCGGTAACCGTTGAATCTGATCGGGATTCAGGCAGTCTAGTCCTCCTAGGCTTCCAACCTTTGTGCAGTTCATTTGTGGTGCGTGCTGTTGCTACGTGCACAAAATTGTTATACGCACTAGCTACCTTTGGTAAGTGCTTGTGCCAATCAATCTGATTTGGTCAATGTACATACGGAGTGTCTGTTGCAACAGTTTGTTCATTTGCTCAATCTGCCCGTTTGTCTCAGGGTGCCTTCCTTAACTTGGACGCATAAACTTTTGTCAACTGTTGCCACTGATCTCCCGTGAATCTAACCTCCCTATCACTAATGATTGGAAGTGGATGCCCCTTGTCCATAACCTAGTGGCTAAAGATCTCATGAATTACTAAATCTGTCCTAGCTTTGGGTGGGTTAACTACATCTATTTACTATGGCCATCGCTTACGTGTTCCCGTTTCAACTCTTCTTCTGCGTATCCTTGAAGTCTATTGACAACGGTCTTCTGGCCCTGAGAGTATAGCCTGTGTAGGCAACGGTCTCAGCAGTCCTAACAGGGGGTTTGCAATACTTTTGTTTGCAACTCTGGACATACAGAACACAATTGCTCTTCATACTGGTTCAGACATAGGAGCGAAGCAGATTCGAGTAAGTCTTTCGCATCGTGGCATTCACTGAGTATTTGGCTGCGTCTGTCTTCAGTGTCTGGTATGCATAGTCTGTCCTCATTGTCCGGTTTTAGCAACAGTAGTCTGTCAGTCATTCTGTAGTCCGGGACTTCATGGGGAGGATCTACTACCTTAGTTATGATGTTTTGTAGGTAGGGGTCATCGGGATATGCAGCCTTAAACTTCTGCTGGAGTTCTTGTCTTGCGTCGATGTAAGTGACAATAGGACCGACGAAATCAGCCCGTCGAGATAGTGCATCAGCGACTACATTATATTTGCTCTTTATTGGCTTCAATTCAAAGTCAAGTTTGTTTATTTCTGTGGACACCAAGGACCTTCATGAACATTGTTGCCTGTGTCTTAACCAGCGCAACGTCGCATGATCGGAGTGGACTTTGAAGTGCCGTCCTAGTAAGTAATTTCGTCAGTTCTTTAGTGCCTGTTTCAGAGGAAACAATTCTCGTTCGTACGTAGATGCGGCTACCTTCTCGGATGGCAGCTCCCTTGATATGAACTTAGACAGGCCTATGGCCATGGCCATTGTTTTGCTGTAGTGGTTACGATAAACGGTAGTGAAGGGTCGGCTATCTTTCGAGCGGGGTACTTTATCAATGGCTTTTTCAACTTCTTGAACCCAGAGGCCCTTGTCCCATAACAACACTGTTTCCTTCTTCAGTCGTTTGCGTAGAGGTGCGGCAATCATAGTGATGTTCCTCACAGACTTTGTATAGTAATTTGCTAGCCCTAGGAACGAGCCCAACTCTGTCAGCGTCTACGGTGTACGAATTGATGCAATCTTTGCACCCTCCAGTTGAACTCCATCCCTGTTTACTACATGACCCAAATACAATACTCCCAAATTCAATACTTGGCAGTTTGCCCACACTTCTTTGGGTTCAGTTTGAATTTAGCTTCCCTTAATTTTCCTGAACTTTCTGCAAATGATCCTGGTGCTCATCTTAAAAAAAAAAAAGAGCAGGTCCTTATGGCCTTGGTTCCATATCCATTCTGGGGAGCATCGGTCCGGTTTCTATTCCTCTGGCAAGTCAGATATCCAATAGGAACACCCTCACTCTTCTTTCGGTTCGGCTGAAGGACCCCGACTCATCTCCTGCGTGGCTTTACCAGTCAACCAATGGTTGCATATCATCAGGACCGATCCCAACAGCTCGGACTTATGTATGGTATGCTCAGACAACGAATCAGAGGACATGATACAATGCTTAGGGCATCTGACCTTTGGGAATCGCTTTTCTCTACCCACTTCCCCGAACACCCCATCCACCTCCTCCTATGGACTGACATCCCTGCCCACTTTCGGGAGAGGGAGAGGATCTGGTTCAGCATGATCAGAAAGGTGACACTACGGTCTATGGAAGGAAAGGTGCAGCACACGTCTTGAAGGTCGCTGAAGTCGAAGAGCGAGTGCTTGAGCGGCCACAAGGCCACTAATTCAGGCTGAGATTCTGTGTACATGGCAGAAAGCATCCTATGCCGGACGATCAGGACCTGCAGCAGAAAATCAAAGCTAAATTTGCAAGGGTGTGGCTAGTGGGAGGCAGGGTGGCAGACATAAATGGATCCTGCATACGATGGAAAGACTGGCATAACTCAGAAGTGGGGCTCAAAAGGCGAAGGTCCCAATCAGCACACTTGCAGGACCCAATACGGGCCACCTAAATTTGACGGCATGGTGCAGAGGAGGAGATGTACAAAGACACAGTCAACAGCTTACAAGATCAAAGTTCCAGCAGGACAACTCTGACAAGTTCAGGGGCTTTTAGCTTTCTCATCTCTTCATCCTTTCTTGAGTTCATTTTGAATTTGGCAGGATTGGGACAACAAACCTTACAGGATAGGTAGAGGGAAGGCAAGCGGACAGTCAATCCTCCAGGCATCTGATCCTGGTGCTTTTCTAGAGTCTTACTAAACACATGTCATCTAAGTAGCTACTCCTTGAACAAATCATTCATGCATCTTTGGAATGTTGCAGGGGCGTTCGTCAGTCCGAATGGCATCACTACAAACTCGGTGWMCGTACCTAGTTGGRWAKGYAGAGGGAAGGCAAGCGGACAGTCA